TATATATATTTGAACAATAGTAAGGGTCCATATTTACACTTTTACAAAGTTGCAAGACACAAGGTTGCCTAGCAACTAATAGCCCACAATGTCCAGGCAGGATGTTTTCCTCAAGACTGAGGTCCCTTGATTTGCAAAGACAGTGAGACCTCATCCTGCCTTTTCACACAGAATCAATATCAGTTTCAGAGGCTCCCTAGGTATCTCCCTTTCATGTTATGTTGTATGAGTGATGGGTGTTCCATTGCAGTTGGAGATGCTGTGACTGGAGAACTCTGTTGAAGACTTTTGCATTCTTGATGGCACTCCAAAGACTTTTAGTACTTGTGTTCAGCAGTTTGACCCTCTGTAGTCCAATAGTCCATAATAGCAGTGAGTTGCCAGTGCAGCTGGCAAGTGTCAGAAGTTGTTAGCTATTAGCATATTATTATACCATTGCTTTTTATATCTTGTAATTACTCTTTTCTGCTGGATGGTTAAGACCAAGTTAAGGTGAGACAAGTATACATAGAAAAATTATCTTTTGCTATCTAATGAAGTCAGTTAAATCTTCTCAGGATTTACCTTGTAACCAGGTATAGCACCTCTTAGATTATCTGTCAGTGTCAGCCATTTAGATGAGTATTATAAATAAAGGATTCTCAACTTCATTTTAAGATTGCTACTAGTACCTAGATCTGCAACTTTTTCATCTAATGATCTTGTATTATGCAACCTTATTGAATTCACTTATTCTAATTGAGAGAGAGAGTATGTAGTTTATAGGATTTTCTAATATAAGATAATATAATCTGTAAAGAATTTTATAACTTTCTTTCTAATTAGATGCCATTTATTTCTTTTTCCTGCCTCACTGTCCTCACTAAAACCTTCAGTACAAAGTTTAACCAAAGTGGCAAGAGTAGATATCTTTGTGTTATTTCTGACCTCAGAGTCAAAGAATTCATCATTTTTAGTATTTCTTTTGAGTGTGTGTGTGTGTGTGTGTGTGTGTGTGTGTGTGTGTGTGCATGTATGATGACCTTTATAAGGTTGGGGAAATTATTTTTATTTCAAAGGTTTTAAATCATGAAATATATTTTTTTGCAGTACCAGCGATTGAACTCAGGACGTTGTGCTTGCCAGGCAAGCTCTTATTCTACTGAGCTATCTCCCGAGGCCTCACATGAACCATATTGAATATTTTAAACATGATCTTCTGCATCTATTGATAATTATGTGTTTTAAATTTAATGTAAATATTTTATTAATAACAACTATTGTGATCATACATTATCAGGATAAATTTCACTTGATCAGAATATTTAGTCCAAAATTCTAATTTTCTGTGCAATTTACCTTGCCATTATTTTGTTGAAAACATTTGTATCTATGTTCAAGTGAGATATGACTGGTCTCTTGTTTTATTTTCTTAATTTTTCCCACTTTTGATACAAGGATAATACTGACCAGGTAATTCTAAAATTCACTTATCAAAATGAATTGATAAGTATTGCCTCAGTTTTCCTCAGGAATGATGTTAAATCAACTAAATATTTCATAGGATTCACCATGAAATTATATGGGGGCAGGTTTTCCTTTGATTGCTAGTTCAAATTTTACTTTCCACTGGCTTAATTAACTTCTCTGTTTTAAACTTCACCTTTGTTTTATTCCATTTTGTAGATAATACTTTTACGAGCTATAAAAATTGTACATACTTAAGGACTATCGTGCGACATTTCAGTACATGCATATGTTGTGTAATACTTCAGGGTGAGCTCATTAATCTTCTAAATGCATACTGTTTCTTCTGGTAAAATACTAAAAATATTCCTTCTAATTATTTATTTCTTTGCTTTACAGGGATGGGATCAAATGCAGGGCCTTGCACATGGCAAGTATGTGCTTAAACACAGGGCTATTTTTTGCTCCTTTGAAATCATATTATAATTGTCTGGAGTCACCCTACCGTGCAAGAGAATACAGAAGGTATGCATCTTATCCAACTATAGCTCAGTACCCCGACCAAATATTCTCTTCCCTCTTGGCACTTTAGTCTCCCCAACCTCTTGAAATTCCCACTCTATTCCCATCTTCTATGGGATCAACTTTTTTACATTCTACTTACGACTAATATTGTGCAGCGTTTATCTGTGGCCATGTTCAATTAACAAAGTGACATCCAGTTCCATCCATGTTGCAGCCAATGACAAGAGTTCATCACTTCAATTGCTGATTGGTATTCTATTGTGTACATACAATTACATAATAATATGGCCTATAAACCACATTTTCTTTATCCATTCACTAGTTGAGGGACATTCAGGTTGTTTGATTTACTGGCTGTGAATAGTGCTGCAACAGACATGGTAGCAGTTGTCTCCTTGATGCACTATGTTCACTTCCCTTGGATATCTAACCCGAGGGCTGGGCTTACTGGATCATATGGTAGCTCTTTAAATTGCTTTTTCAAGCTACTCCATTGTTTTCCATAATAGTCGTACTAATTTACTTTCCCAGTAATATGTTAATGTTCTCTTTTCTCTACTCCCTGGATTGCACTGGTCATCTTCTAACTAGAGTACAGTGATATTAATTTGTGGTTTTGATTTGTGTCTCTCTGGTGATTAGTGATGCTGGACTTTTGTCTCATTTACTTATTCTTCATTAATGTGTCTTTTTTTTTTGGAAAAGTGTTGCTTAAAAGATAGTTTCTTTTAAAAAATGAGTGATATTCCAAAATATACTGCAGGGAACAGTGGATAGCTATATGCAGAACAAAGCTTTATCTAAACTAGTCAACATATACAGAAACCAACACTAAATGAATCAAAGATTTCATTTCAGACTATATATGAGCTATAAAGCTACCAGAAGAAATCATGAGGGAAATGTTCTAGAAAACTGGGATGGGCAAGGGTTTTCTGGGGAGAACTTCACAGTTACAGGAAGCAAAAGCAAAAATAGAGTAAAATCTAATAAAAAGGTTCTGTGCAACAACAAAAACAAAAAATGAGGAGCCAATCCATTAAATGAGAAAGTATTTGTGAATTGTATGTGTGTCTGAGAGTGCTGTGTAGAAAGTATCAGGAACTCAAACTCCTATTTTTTCTAGAGTCACTATCAGCAGTATGTTACTTTCTAGGAATTTTTCTATCCCTTGTAGTTATCTAATTTTTCTCTATACTATAGTTAACAGTGTTTCTTTTCATAATAGTCTCAACATTCCTGATTTTAGTAATTTAAATTTATCTTGGTCAGCCTAGCTGAAAATTTGCAAATTCTGTTGATTATTTCAAAAGGCCAACTTCTGAGATTAGTGACTTTCCCTATTCTATTTTTTTTTTTTTTTTTGGTATTTTTATCCTTCTGCTAATTTGGAGTTTAGCTTGCTCTTCTTTTAGAACATAAATACCCACAAAATGACCATTTTTACAATCAATAATTTAACCTTATTCTTACTATCTAAAAACTGTTTAGCTGCACCTATAATATTAAGTTTAGAGTTTTTCCCAGTATTATATTTTTTATTTTTCTTATGATTTCTTTAACACATCATCCATTTAAGAGTCAATGGTTTAATTTCTACATATCTACAAATTTTCTACCATTATTTCTGTTACATATTTCTAATTTAATTTAATTTTTCTCAAAAATATTTTGCAGGCTGGGGAGATAGCTCCATAGCATAAGAGCCTGCTTGGTAAGTACAAGGTCCTGGGTTTGATCCCTGGTACAAA